TTTTGATAGCTTTAAAAGGCCATTTTTATGACTAAATACTCGATAATTTGATCTTTTGAAGTTTTAGCAAAGATGGTATAATTATACCGTTTTCTCTATACAAAGCATTATCTTAAGACCATGTTTTCCTAACAGTTCATGAAAGCAATTTCTCAAATTTAGAATCTTTTGTCATTTGGAAAAGCTAGAATTTTCAAAACCTTCAAATCCTTTTGATTTAACAGTTCCTTCCTCAAATTATCTTCCTATATTCTCACACATAGCTATAGAAATCAAGAAAAAAACAGGTGGCATATCCAACACATTTCTTGAAGATATCCTTAATTAAATAACTAAGTTCATCCTTCTATTTGCTGTTGTCTACATAACTAGAAGAGACAAGTTCACTAAGCTCCCTGCTGGTAAATGTCTCCCTTCCTCCATCTTCTAGTAACATATTCCTTACTTCCTTTGAGCCCTCACTGGTAGTGTCCTCAATGTTCTTGTTCATAATCATCTGATTGAGAGAACCTAGTTTTTCTCATGCTTTTCAAAAATTGTTTATCTTTTGTTCATTGTCTCATTATAAAGCCACTCCCACATTTGTAGTGTTTTTTAGAGCAGTCTCTCACTTTCAGATACCAGTATCTGTATGTTATGCACACCTGCATAACAAATTACCATAACTTGAAGGCATAAAACAACACACATCTATTATTTCAGAATTTGTGAGAGTCAGAAACCCAGGCATGGATCAGCTGAACTCTCTGCTTCAGGATCTCTCATAAGGTTAGAGTCAGAATGTTGGTCAGACTTGAGGTGTTATCTGAGGCTCCACTGGGGAATGGATCTCCCATCAAACTCCTTTTGTGGTTGGCTAGATTCAGTGCCTCCTTTACCCTCAAACAGAAAGGCTGTAGCTTTTTCCTAGCATTTGGGTGGTGGCTGCTTTTAGTTTCTTGCCAAGTGAGTCTCCAGAGCATGGTGGTTTGCTTCATCAAACTGTGTGAGCAGAAAAGTATTTAGAGAGGCTAGTAACAAAGCAAAATTTAGAGTTTTATGTAGTGTAATCAGTCAAGTGACATTCTATTATCTTTTCTGTATTCTGCTGGTTAGAAGCAATTATAGCTCCTGCCCATAGTCAAGAGGAAGATCTTGCACATGGCATGCATGTCAGGAGACAGAGATAATTGGGTCCATTTTAAAGTTTGACCATGTCAGAAAGTAAAACTATCACACGAGAACTTTTTATCTTCCTAGAAGGTATAAAAACTATAAGAAAGAGTGAGATAGCAAAGGGTCAGTGTGCCCAAGTTTCAATCTTGTATTCTGCAGCCCTGATTAAAGAGACTAAAGACATTTTCACTAGAATTTAAAATGCATTCAGGACAGAATATGAATGTTATATATTGTTACTTTAAAATAATCATCACAGTTCTAGTTAAACACAATGTTCATATATGTTTATCATGTAATACTAACAGGTAGCATTTTGGCATGCATTGTATGCTAAACATGTTATCCTAAAAGCAACATCATTTGCATTAGCTACAGATCTTGGTTCAATCCCCAATTATATATACTTATGTATTATATAATATAAATTATATATTATATATTACACATGTAAATGGACTCAGAAGAAGCTATGCAGTCTTTCTAAACTTTAGTGTCTTTATCTATAATATGGGTGCAGCAATGGCATTTAATTGAAGCAAATGTGTTAAAATTATGAGTGAATGAAAATCTTGTATCGTGTTCAACAAAGAGAAATCTTCAAATATATTAAATGCTGAAGACAAACATACATTGTGATTAAGTATAAAGGCCATGAACCAAGAAGACATTATTGCATAGAAGGCTAACTACACAAACAGAAGTTCAATCACTCAGGAGAACAAAAAGAAACAATCACCCAGGTGAGAGAATAACATTCTCTTATTCTAAAAGTTATAAACAATTTTCTGTTAAGGTTTCCATAATCTCACTGCAGAATGGAAAGCTATTTGCCATATACATGTATACCAGAACGTATGCCACACAACACTCAGCGAAAGTATAGAATGCATTACTGGCTTTTTCACTGGATGTGAGTTAACGCACTCCTCAAAGTATGAATGTGTATTTTCATTGGGGTTCAATGGATTTCTCATAACCATTACAAAGGTATGGAACCAATAGGAAAATCTGAAGAAGCAGAGCTCATTCTATAACATTTTTGTCTTGACCTATGTATTGCTAAGCATTAAAAGGTTGCCCCTAAGTTATAGTCTTCATATCCCAGCTTTTCTACCTGCTGCTAAAATGTGTGCATTTATTTTGTTGTAGTTTACGTTGATCCAAAAGCTTCTTTTCTGTCAGTATCCAGTGAAAGCACCTATTTATTTTTTTGGAAAAGGCTGGAAATTTTTTATGGCGGGATGCCCCACAGTTCTTGGTGGTATATAGAATTATCTTCAGGATGCAATACCAGAGATTAACACCATATCTCAACTCTCAACTACTTATACTGTAAGAGATTTAAAATTTAAAATAAAAACATAAGAAAAAAATGATCTTTGTTACTTCCTAATTTCCATGGTTTCTAAGAAAATGCTTTAAAAATAAGCTTATTTCAAGAATTGCACTTTGTAATATTTGCATAATGATTTATAAAATATAACAACTTTTAAAAACTCAATTTCTTTGGTTAAATAACTGTTTTCATAACTTTACTAAATATTTTGCTTTCATTTTATTTACAATATTTTTGGAGCCATTCATAAAAACAAGCCAAATTTGGCAACTAATTTCATTCAGAATACAATGATATCCTGCTAGGTATTATACATTAAAATAAATTAAATGTCTAAACTCTTCCCCTTTAGACACGATTAGATAATCCACTAGTCTTATTCCAGTTTCTTAAAAATGAAGATAAGGTGATGTCCTCCTATTGATTTACTGATTTTAAAGTAAAGAAGAGAGAGCGGTAGGAATAAAAATAGCCAGACAGAAATATTCAAAATGTGTACTCTACCATCAGGCTTCCTAGACTTTCTAGAACCTAGAAGTAAAACTGAGCTGGTTCTTAATAATAAAATAAAATATAATCATTTTACCAATTAAATGCTCTCAGATCATCCTAAATGTCAGTGTTTTAAACAGGCAACCAAAATACATGAATCAGACATTATCCCCTATATTCCTGAACATTCCCATCCTTCATATGTTTATATTTTCTGTCACATAACCTGATTTTTTTTCCTATTTCTGTACCAGCTTCACAGCTCATTTGCTTGCAATAAGGCAAAACTGCCTTTCCCCTTGACATGTTCTGAATACATGGTTGTATGTTAGAGTTTAAACAATGAACATATCTCTGTCTGCCCGATAAGCTAAATTATGGCAGAAAATCCTGATTTTTAAGCTTTCACAGACAGGGAGAATAATTTATCTTTTGCTTTCATTGAATCTATTTTACATATCGGAAAAATCTGTTGTGGATAAAACAAAAGCTCCTTTTCCTGCCCACTTCCTGTGTGCCTTCCTTCAACAGTTTTTCTCTTTCTTTCTTTCTTTCTTTCTTTCTTTCTTTCTTTCTTTCTTTCTTTCTTTCTTTCTTTCTTTCTTTCTTTCTTTCCTTTCTCTTTCTTTCTCTCTCTCTCTCTCTCTCTCTCTCTCTTTCTTTCTTTCTTCTTTCTTTCTTCTTTCTTTCTTTCTTTCTTCTCCCCCCCTCCCTTTGAAAGCCTGGGGATCACCTTTTGAAACTGTTTGGTCTACCAACAATACACAAGACTAAAAAAAATGCTTTATTGAACTGTTAGCCCACACCCATTTTATTTTCCTTTCATTGCAAATGCCTGTGTTCAAAGTCATAGGCAACAAATATCTCTGCCTCCTTATGCCCATTGGCCTCCACCTCTCGGGCTCAAATTATCCCCCCATCTCAGCCTCCTGCATAGCTGGGACTACAGGCATGTGGCACATGCCTGGCTAATTCTTTTAATTTTTGTAGAGATGGGGTTGTGCCATGGCACCCAGGCTGGTCTCAAACTCCTGAGATCTAGCAACCTGCCTGCTTCAGATTCCCAAAGTGCTGGGATTACAGGAGTGAATCACCACACCCAGCCTCTAGTAGGTATTTATGAAGTACCACCTATGAGCAGTCTTTGCCCTAGTATGAGGCATGGCAAAGAATAAGATCATGGTAGCTATATCGTTTAAATTTTCAATGAGCATGCCTATCTGTATTTTAGAATATCTACTTACATATATTTAGTAGAAATTTTTCTATTATTTAAAAATGACACAATAATATAAATAACAATATAAAATATACCTCCGCATCATTTTTCATTGTTCTCATCATTGGAGTATATTTTGTTTTCTGCTCTATATTTTAAACACCATATTTTGTTTTGATCAAAATGGGCTTTCCTCAAATCTTCATGTCCCTATACATAGGACATTATTTTAAGACAATGATAAACACTAAAAATTAGTCAGTGATCAATTACTATGCCTTTTCACTATTATAGATCAATTGGTGAATTTTTATATTATATAACTTGTATATATGTATTACATAACAATGTGATATATCATTATCTCTCTATATATGTATATATACATGCACGTAGAACATATCATACATGTACATACTATCATTATGTCCTAAACGTGCATGTACACGTGAACATAAATGTGTGTATGCACGTGTGTGTGTGTGTGTATGAGAAAAATACATAGATAGTACCTAAGGTAGAGTTAGGAGAGCAAAATAGGACAAAATAAATTTTTAAATTTATGACTTCATACTTTGTTTCTTTGCAGAGCCTATTAATTTATAGTGTCACTAGGAACATATAAACTCTTCTGTTAGCAATATAATTTTTAACTAAAAATTATTTTCTCATCTCATAGCTTTCTTGCTATTATTTTATCATGTGTGTCTTTAAACAGTCTAATTTTTTAGTGATTCCATCATTCACTCTAATTATCATGGGTATACTTAAACAATGATTGTTTCATTTTCTGAAAAACTTCTAATTTTTTAAATGCCAAAATATCAAAGTTCAAATTCCAAAGTGTGTCTTTTAAAACTCTTCATTATCTAGTTCAAATATGCTTGTTGAAATTCATATCTTGCTGCGTTTCCTTCAAACTTCCAACCTGCAGAAGACATGGCTGGTTCTTATTCCTACTACAACAGGCACGGATTCAACCCTGTCTGTTCCTTTTTCCAGTTTTCTCTCCCTCCATGCCACACATTTCTCTCAGCAGATTGTAAATACATTTGTCTTTTCTAATTCATCTTGTCAGAAGAAAACTATAATTTATAAAATGTTTCTCTTTTATTAGGTTATATTCTCCTTGTTGACAGTGACTAGACATCTTTTTTTTTTGTTGTTTTTGCTGCAACATAATGGATAATACATGGCCCAAGAAAGATGTTGAACAAATATCTACCTCTGCTGCCATTTTAGTCACTAGAAACATTTCCCTTAATAACTTTTTTTGTTTGTTTTCTCACTTACTATAAAGGTGACAAACTAAGATTTAAGAAGGCTTAACAAATGGTCCACTTCTATAAGTATTGAATACCTATTATTTATCTCTATGCATGCATCATTTTATTAGTTTTTTACTTTAACATTTATTTTAAGTTCAGGGTTACATGTGGAGGATGTGCAGGTTTGTTATTTAGGTCAATGAGTGTTATGGTGGTTTGCAGCACAGATCGTTGCATCGCCTAGACATTAAGCCCAGCATCCATTAGCTAGTTTTCCTGATGTTCTCCATCCCGGCCTCCAAAAGGCCTCCAAAAGGCCCCAGTGTGTGTTGTTCCCCTTCATGCGTCCATGCATTCTCATCATTCAGATCCCACGTGTAAGTGAGAACAGTTCTAACTCCCGAAGCTTCCACGATTTCAAATCCTCTGGAGCTGTCAGAAAGCCACTGGTAACCAGGGCTCCCCGGGGATTCCGAGTGGGAATAGACCTCCACTCTATCAGCCACCATGAAGGCCGAGAAACCCACTACAAACTGGCCGATGATCTTGGTGCTGGCCTCAGCCTGGTTCTGCAGAGCATCCAGGAAGGCCTTTGACCCCGATCTGGCGATCGTCCCCAGGTTGGACACCAGCTCTTCCTGTGTCATCCTGATGCCAGTATCCTGGATGATGATGGTGCCTTTCCGGGCATTGGTCCACAAGTGAATCTCCATTTCTGGCAGGGCTTGGCCGTCAGACACCAGTTTGTAACGCAGTTTTTCCAAGGCATCGCTGGCATTGGAGATCAGCTCCCGTATAAACGTCTCTTTTTCTGAGCAGAAGGACCGGGCAAAGATGACCAAAAGCTTCTTTGTCTCGGCCTAAAACTCATGTTTGGAAGTAGAACCCTGCAAGCTCTCTGTGCTGCTGATGATCAAGTGCAGGGGTTCCTTCCTGTCCTCGGTGGTCTGCGTGCCGAAGGCCTGTCCTGCCTGGAAGCTCCAGGCCATGTTTTGCCTGGGGCAGAACTGGGCTGTGGTCCCCCGTGGACACAGAATTGGTTTTCCTCCAGGGGCGGCCGCCAGCGCCGGAGCTCATAGCAGACGCAGCAGTTAGCAGCGAGATAGCAGCAGCGCCCGCAGCTTGCGCGCCACATTGTCCTCCCAGAGCTCGGCGCACAGCCACTCAGAACCGGACGGGGCAGGGCCTAGCGGGGCGGGGCCGTCCTCTGGCGAGGGGCGATGACGTCACGGCGGGCGCCGGGCTGCCCGGACCGCTCCGTTTCTCTATTGTTAATATACCTTTAATGCTACCTAACTACCCTATTGCTACTATCCTGTAACACTACTACTACCTACCACGCTGCTACTACCTAACTATATCTTAATTACTGTTTTACTATACTTCCACTGCTAAACAATAGTTTATTTTCTCACAGTTCTGGAGGCTGCAAGCCTGAGATCAAGGAATATGCAGGTTTGGTTTCTTCTCCCGTCCTCTTGGCTTGATGATGGTTGTCTTCCACTGTGTCTCCACTTGGTCAGGATCCTCCAGATAAATAGAACCATTAGGATGAGCATATACACAGAAAGAGATTTATTTTAAGGCATTGGCTCATGCAGTTGTGGAGGCTTGGCAAGTCCAGAATGTAATGGCGAAGGCCAGTAGCCTGGAGACTCAGGAAGTTGTATTTTGAGTCCAAGGGCAGTCTGCTGATGAACCAAGAAGAATTAATGCTGCAGATGAACTCCAAAGACAGTTAGCTGGCATAATTCCTTCTTGCTTGGGAAAAGTGAGCTCCTCGTTCTTTTTTTTCTTTTTCTTTTTTTTTTTTTTTTTGAGACCGAGTCTCACTCTCTTGCCCAGGCTAATGTGCAGAGGCCTAATCTCAGCTCACTAAAACCTCCACCTCCTGGGTTCAAGCAAGTCTTCTGCTTCCACCTCCCAAGTAGCTGGGATTACAGGCATGCACCACCATGCTAGGCTAACCTTTGGATTTTGGTAGAGACGGGTATTTGCCATGTTGGCCAGGCTGGCCTCGAACTGCCGACCTCAGGTGATCCACCTGCCTAGGCCTTCCAAAGTGGTGGGATTACAGGTGTGAGACAATGCACTCAGCCAGCATTTTGTTTTATTCAGCTTTCAACTGATTAAAGGAGGCCCACCAATGTTATGGAGGATAATATGCTTAACTCAAAATTTAACCATTTAAATGTAAATCTCATCTAAAAGCACTGTCGCAGAAACACCCAGATGAATATTTCACCAAATATCTGGGCACCATGGCTCAGCCAAATTGACAGATAAAATTAGCCATCTTACATGGTCTTTCCTCTGTACACATGCATCCTGGTATCTCTCTGTGTGCCCAAATTTTCTCTTTTTACAAGGACACCAGTCAGATTGGATTAGGGGCCACATTAAGGGCTTCATTTTAACTTAGTTACATTTAAAGGCCTTTTCTCCAAATACGATCACATCCTGAGGTACTGGGCATTAGGGCTTCAACATATGAATTTGGGGAGGAAATAATGGAACCCATACACTAATTTCTACTACACTTTACTAGCACCACCATATTGCTACTACTACCATTGCACTGCTACTACTGTTACTACTACTCATCCTCTTTCTATTGCTAATACTTCCATAAAGTTCCTTTAAGTTGTAATTTCCTGTGTTTCTACAAAATAGATTGTACACAGCTGGCACCATGAAAAAAAAAATTCCTGATTCAGCAATTTGCCATGGCATCATATTTAGTCTCCATCATCTCTATGACTAGGGGAACAATTTCACTTCAGTTATCGATATCAGGAAATAAATCATAGATGGACTGTTTGGAGCACATCTTTTCTCAATCTTATCAGTAATTGTGCAAAGAGTTTGCTATTTTCTGAAAGTTTCCCAGGAAGAAAAGATATAATTTATTTGGACTGGGATCTGGGAATTTCTCTCTTAATTTAGAGGTAATTATTGATCATATGATATTTTTGGTGTCACAATCTAAATCATTATCCATTGGTAAGCCTCCAAGGGTATTATTGTTTATGTCTTACTATGTATTTGTGCAAGAACAGTAGACCTGCTCCCGGAAGTCTTTCATGTAAGAAAGAAAATTCAAAAAGATTATTTAACACAACTAAGACTCTTCTATGGCTATCATTGTTTTCAAAACTGAAATGTAGCTGGATTTCCTTTCTATTGCCATTGCCTTTAATAAGAATCTTTATACCACAAAGAAAAAGAACCAGACTGGAATGTTTCAGAGTTAGATAAAAGCAAAGGACTGACAGCTTACAAGGGTAAAGCAGTGAGGATGGAAACTCAGAAATAAAAATGAATTGATATTTCTTATAAACATGATGAGTCAATTCCAGAACCCAAGGTCCTGAAATATATGACTCTTGGCTGATGAAGGATTATGTAAGCATTCCAATCAGGGTCTTGACATAAAACTTGGGGAGAGTAAAATTAAAACACCTTTTAAAATGTGTGAGAAAGTATGAAAGAAATCAAGAAGGATTGATAAAGTGGATACCAGGAAGAAGGCCATTGGCCTTGTTGGAGAAGGCAAGGGAGAGGTCAGTTACAAGAACTAGATGGAGAACGGAAGCTGAGGAGGGATTACCCCATGGGAACTGTTGGCTTCAATACAGGAATAAAGAGACTGCTGACATGTGGTCCTGTAATATATTTAATATATTACTGTTTCATACAGAAACTCTTAAGGGTTAAAAATAGGCAATTTAAATATATTTCAGACATTTCACACGTAATCCTCCACTCTTTTCATCAATTTCCTTGAGGGTTAAAAGGCGTAGCTGCAGTTTGGAATACTTCACAAAGATAAGCTTATGTACTCAGTATTTTATGAGTTTATTTCAGGCAACAATATATAATTAAAAGCATAAATCGAGACTTAAGCTCAGCTAAAAGGATTTCTACTAAAATTGCAATTGATTTGCACAACAGTCAATGGAGTTTAGCACTTTGGGATTGAAGAAAAAGAAAAGTTTCAGAAAACACTCATGCTCAAATTATAAGGAGAAAAGCAGTTGGGTTTGTTATCCCAAGAGAAAGAGGTTTTGTTTCTTTTGTTCTTTAACATATCAATATTAGGTATTTCCAATACTCTAAGGTAATGAAAGATTCTTGACTACATTTCTAAAATGGTAGGCTTTTTTTTTTTTTCTTAACAATACCATCGCCATCTATACCAGGAATATAGAGTTAGTTCCATGTCAGATACATCAGGTACCATTCTTAAAGGGCAAATGAAAGAGATGTAGACTATTTATCCTCTCTGCCATGAGAATTTCAGCTGCGTGGTGTAGATCAGTCTAGTTAGGAAAATTGACTATGATTCTTACATTTGCCTAACATCTATATATTTCCTCCCACCCTCCCTCCCTCCCTCCCTTACTCCTTTCGTCTTCCTTCCTTCTTTCCCTCCTTCCTTCTATTCTTTCCTAAAATATTTTCTTTTTATAATATTTCTATTTTCTTTTATAAAAGTATATTCTCTTTAAAATTCAGCATTTTTCTTCATCATATTGCCCTCAATGCTTTTCTTTAATTTTCTTTGCAAGTCCCTTAAAAAAAAGTTTCTACTTTTTGTAGAAAACAACAAAACAAAAGAAACAAACAAGGTTTGATTCCTTTTGCTTTAATATTTAAAATTCTGTTTACAGTTTATTCACAAAGTAAACTATTAAAATATTTTTACATTTGTGTTCCTTTAATCATTTCTTTAAAAATAGTTATTAAGTAATGTATTTATAAGAATCATCCTTCACAAGTTTTACTCTGCAAAGACTCCGTTCCTCCTCTGGGCCTCCCTCAGTTTCACCTTTCCTTCTTGTTTTCTTCTATGCCCCCACCTCCATATGAATTTGGCAGAAACAAGAAAATGTTCTATTTCATAGATTATCTCAGTATATCAGTTGATCATTCTTTGCTTTATGATACTTTTTTCATTACCATCTTTCCTTTTCCTCCAGCTCAGCAGACCTCATACTGCCCCACAGCTGTTCCTTCTGTCTCAAATGCCCAATGCCCAGGTATCTGCTTAGTCGATCTTCATTTACTTCTTTAAGATTTTTGATGAACTCTTGCCACCTTAGTTAACACTATCATGTCCACTCCCTCGCTGGCTCCACATGTTTTTTCTTTCAGACCATTTGTCACTTTCTCACATGCTTTGCAACTTTATCATGTATTATTATTATTTATTCTTTGTTTTCCCGCTAGAATTATAAGCTGTAAAAGAGCAGGGATCTTTGTCTTTGTGGAGAATAGGTGTATCCTAAGTACCTGGATAGTGATGGAACCATATTAAGTTTGTTTACCTATTTTCAAATAGATGCAAGAACATATGCTTTTTAAAAAGTAATGAATATGTCATACGTCAGTTGAGTACAATCCACTACAAATGACTAGTTTATATTAGCTTCAATTTTATTGCAAAATCTATAAGCCTCTAAGAACATCTTCACAGTCTCTCAAATATGGAAATTTATAAAAATTTACTTGGCAATTTTTTAAGAAGTGTGTAATAATTGACAATTTATATTATATTCCTTATGAATTTATAATTTCATTATTTATAGTAATTAGTATCTTTTATTTTTATTATTGGAAAAGCAATATTTTCTATTAGCAAGAAAGAGGCAGTTAACTGTTCTGTAAGTAGGTGAAAATTATTCAATGAGATTATTAATTGAAGCACTTATCTTCTCTTGTACCTCTGTCACTTTTTAAAGGTTTACATAGTATTAGATCTGCAAAGTTCTAACTTACTATAATTGAGTCAGTGAGCAAACTTCCTTCTCACTATTTATTTATAACTGAAACATCATTTTCAGAATTTATAGCCACACCCAAGCCATCAAGGTACATAGTATCTCTTATTTTACTGGAAAAATGCATAAGGTGAAAGAAAGCAGTATGAATGCTGAACCTGAGAATTTAAATCTTTGAATTGACATCACATTATCTACTATAGAATAGGTAAATATTAAATCGTATCGTGATTTCAAATCATTAAAAGTCTACCTTTGCTAATTTAGCATTAGAAATATTGTTCCATTTGGAAAGTAGATTGCAGAATCATTGATATGTTCATTAAATTATTTGGCAACTGTTATATGTCAATAAAATGACAAAGAAATTATCAAAAAATGATTCTTATACATTAGCA